CACCAGTACAGGCTGGGGACCAACCAGCTGGAAAGCAGCTTGGCAGAAAAGGACCTGGGGTCCTGATGGACAAGTTGAACATGAACCAACAACATGCCATTATAGCAAAGGCGGCCAACAGCCTCCTGGGCTGCATTAGGAAGAGTGTTGCCAGCAGGTCAAGAGATGCATTCTTTCAGTCCTTCCCCTCTACCTGGCACTGGTGAGACCACAGCTGGAGTGCTGTGTCCAGTTCTGGGCTCCCCAGTAGAAGAAGACATCTACACACTGGTGCAAGTTTGCTGAAGGGCCTCAATGGTGCTTAAGGAATTGGAGCATCCGACCTACAAGGAGAGGCTGAGAGAACTGGGACTGTTCAGCTTCAAGAAGAAAAGGCTCAGGCAGGAAGATCTTATCAATGTGAAAATATACCTGATAGTAGGGAGTAAAGAAGGCAGAGACAGACTCCTCTCAGTGGTATCCAGCAACAGGACAAGAGGCAATGGGCAAAAAATACAGGAGATTCCATTTAAAGGTAAAAAACGCCCATGTTTTTATTGTAAGGGTGATTGAACCCCAGAACACGTTCCTCAGGGGGTTTGTGGAATCTCCACCTTTGGAGATATCCAAACTCCAAATGAACACAACCCTGAGCAGCCTGCTGTAGTTGACTCTGTTTTGAACAAGGGGGTTGGAGTAGATGCTCTCCAGAGGTGCCTTCCAACCTCAGTCATTTAGTGATTCTCAGGAGTTCAGAGCTGCTCAGTTGAAGTCAGTCAGCTTCTGCTCCTCAGACCACATCCATCTTGTAGATATTTCAGAGTTTCTTGCCACAGCACCCTTTCTCTGCTCAGTATTTTTAGCCCGTTGTTTTGTATTTTGCCAGCTGAGAAACTGCAGTTTGTAATTTTACCTTCAGCTTCATATTTCTTCTTAAAAGTGAATACAATGTCCTGTTTATAATAATAAAATCACTAGTTGGCAGGATGACATCAAATGGAAAAAGAGAAAGCAACTGGAAAATTTAGAGCAAGCAATTTTGAGTGCCAAGTTTCACATTTGTAATAGTCCAGCGGAGGTCAACAGGCTCACTTATTATTAGGCAAATGGTAAAGAAATAGATATCCTCAAGTTCTTCCACGTTAGACTATATAAACCATCTCTACTTGAACAGGCTCTAGTGCTTTCCAAAAAAGTGATGTTATACATTTTCCACAGTAACACCAACAATGGGAGACAGGCAAAAGGCAGAACTGCTTTGCAAAGAACGGCCTTTTTTCTCTCTCCAATATTTAGGTTTTTGTTTCCCACTATGATCGGACTTTCCTGGCTTTAGTTTCTTGTCCCAGTTAAGCAATAAAGGAAACAAAAAGATATGAATGAAATTAGAAACATTTGGAATGAGTCTTAGAAATAGCTTTTGGGTTTCTTAGATTCCTGGCTTCACCTCTTCAAATGGCCTCCTCCTCTAGCCCCCGTCTCCTGCACCCACCTCTGAAATTTGCATTTCCTCCTTTGCCCTGACCCCTCTTCTGCTCAGGGGCTATATTTTGTCCCACACTATTGAAACACTAAGTGCAAAGCAAAGCAAACAAGGAAGTGAAAATTACATGTTGAAACACTGGAAAAGACCGGAAAATGGTTGAAACTTTGCACCCATCAAAATTTGTCTCTATGACACTAATCCTCCAATGTTTCTCTAAAAGCAGAAACCAAACACTTCTCAAACTTCTAATGAAAAAATACCGATTCCAGTCAACCTGAATAATAAAATGAGAGCTCTGGTCCTATCTGTATTATCACATTTAAAGTCCCTGGAAGGGAAGTTTCCTCAATCACGCTATTCTGATACTTTATGAAACTTCATGCTCTCTATAAAATACAACTGCAGTATGTGATTCCAACACCTAATACTTGCCTAGTGCTTTTCATTAGAAGTTTTTGGTGCTCTTTACAAACAAGTAAGCTGGGAGTGCCTGTGAAATACTTGCCTAATTTTACAAATAGATAAGCCCACACAGGTAAAAAGCAGATGTCCATGGCAAAACCGTGCACTAGTGGCAGAGCAGAGAGTTAAATCAGCTAAAAGATTTCAAAGCCATCCACGAGGTTTGGATCTTTTCTGCCTTAAGTAATATTAAAATATTATGTAAACCTTTCTTTGTGAGCCATTACTGCAGAAACGAGAAAAAAAAAGATCTCTTGGAAATAATTCTGCACAGGCTATGTAGGTGAGATCACAGTTTCTATCCAAACAGACTATGCATGGCAAGAACAGGCTTCCTGTAAAACTGAAAGACTTGCAGGAAGACCAAGGAACATATTTACAAGATGGCATGGACAAAATATCCTTCCCTCTTCTTGCCCAGCCTCAGCAGCTTGGTGAAACACATTGTCTCACTTTCATCTAAAACCACACTCACAAATGCCTCCGGTGCAGAACCTCTACCTCCGTGCTCTATACACTGACTCACAAACAGACCCGACCACACTCAGGACACTGGTTAGCAGAACACAGAAGTTACCTTTTGAGGAGGAAAGAGTCATTTCCCGTGATGAAAGGAAACAAGGAAAAGTTATCTCAGGAAGAGGAAACACCCGAAAACCCAAGACTTTGTTCAGGTCTCAGTTCCAAATCCCAAAAGCTTAATGCATGACACTAGAAAATTTACAGCACTGTGTTACAGAACTGGAGAGGATTTACTAGAGATTGAAGTATTTTAAGCCAAACTCTAATATGTGTTTACTCTAGTCAGGTGAGCAATGTGTAAACTGAACTAGGATGAGCTATTTAGAAGTGTTAACATTGCTGTTTCAGGAAAAAAGATGAATCTTTATTTCACTGTAATTTATCTTATATAGTACTCTCAGAGTACTGTACAGTAATGTGGAGAGCCTGACAGACCACCATGCACAAAGTACAGCAAAGACGGGCACTCACAGATGCAGGTGCCATTGAACACGGTGTGAGCTCCCCTGGAAAACAAGGCACAACTCCCGTGTGCACCCAGACCAGACACCCAGATTCAGGGTGTCTTCCTCTGGATGCCAGCCTGGGCCAGTGTGTACCGGCTATTTGTACGACACTGCAGACCACAACGCACTTACTGCTGACATTATGAAAGCTAATATTTAATACCAAGTTAAAGCCAAGCTACCTTGGGATTTGTCAAGAACAGTCTCTCAAGGTCTGATGGGTGAGACCAGAAGAGATGGCGGCCAGGTCTCCAACTGCAGGACTCCACTCAGATACGATTCACACTACATTTACTAATAAAACTCATCTTTTTCTGGGTAGACAAACCTCTCACTGTGAGGAAACAAAAAAGAAGACTCATCTGTATTTTACTTTCCATAACTATAAGTCTCATGTTATCTCCATATGTGTTTAGACCACAGACTAGTTAGTCAGTGGTGTGGCAGTTGACATTAAAAGGATTAGTAAATTAAGCTCAAATAATTGCCTTAAAAACCTTGACTGTTAAATGTTTATATTTGAGAGGATCAAAAGGAAATCTACTTTGTAGTGTGCACTGTGGTCGGGAAGGGGCAGAGAGGGATTTAAATGGCTTAACTGCAAAACTGTTATCACCTTGATAAGTCGCAGTGTAATAATTCAGCAATAAAAGCAAGAAATGCACTTGGAATTTGTTTCCAAAACTGATTGTTTGACTGGAAATAAGTCAAGCTCTTTACTTGCTTGAAGAAACAGAGAATGCTACTGAAATGTAGTCAAGAATATAAAAATAAGCACTTTCCAGTGACTTCTGAACTGCAGCATTCAATATCTTTTTTTTTTTTTAAAGCTACTTGAAGCCTACAGTCTGGATCTGGTACCTGAGTGTTACCACTAGTCAAACAGGAGTGTGATTCTCCCCTGCATTATTCTATTGTATGGCAATGGAAATCCAGTAAAGCTGAAGCAGTAAGGAAATTGCAGGCAGGATTAGGTCCAAAGTAACATCTGGAGTCTGGGTACAGATACAAATGGCTACAGTTCATCAGCTTATCTGCTCAAATTGCTAATGTCCATGCCAATAACACAGATAAACTAAGAGTGAGAGGAGTTTGCTACATATATGCAGGTGCTTGTACCAGTGCAGTGTCTTGAGGAATCAGGCTCATGCGGCTGTCTCCCCTCAGCAATATGCAAGAAAGCAATGAATCTGCCAACTGAGACAAGATTCTCTAGCACTAGGTGGGAGTGGAACACACCAAATCATCTTAATAATGTATTTATTGTTTTGCTTTCTTGCACCTTCCTTTATTGCAAAGTGATGTTCTAAACAAATTACTTTTCTTTTGTCTTTAAATCTTTTCTAGTAAAGACGTCTCTGAAATCTGACACTTTGCAGCGTAGCAAATCCACTAGCTTTGGGTAGTCCAGCAATGTCAGAGTGTCCAAAAGACCATGGAGTTCCTGAAAGCTGGTGGGAGCATCACTAAGTTGCAGGGATGGCTAATGTGACGTAGGTGGTCAGCACAGAGTTGTCAGGCTGCAGGGAGGGACTGCATTTGCCAGTTGCTAACACCTGATCAAGAGCCGTCATAAACTCCACATGACACCAGTTCTTCAAAACAGAGAAAAATGTTGAGACTAGACAGGAAAACGCAGGACAGTCTCTACCTGTGCTTAAGTTTCAAAGTAACAGTGTCCAAGATCATTTGATCTGCCAGGCATTCAGAAAATCTCTGCTATAAAACTACCACTAAAATACGTAATACATTCCAGACAAAAACATAAAGCTTTCAGATTAGGTGCCAAACACCAAATTTTCAGTTTTCAATAGTTCTTTTGAGAAAAAGACTCTTTGCCTCACAAAATAGTTCTCCAAATAATTGATCTTTTGGATTTGTAGGTACTTTCAAAAGCCGTTTCTTTCCATGCTAGCACAGGTAATGTGCAATACAATACACGTAATAAAGTCAGTGCCTTTTCAAAGTGTGATGAAAGCAAAACAAAACAAAACAACCCTGCAGCAACCCAAGAAGGAATGTCACACCACGCTTTTTGTCGTTACCTCAAATCTCTTCTTCTGGCCATCTCTCCCGGTGAGATAACCCAGGGCAGGCTCTGGGGAAGACATTCCAGGGCTTCGGGGGAAAAGTCAGAGAAATCCACACCGTACTCCGTCAGGATCCCTTCTGTTTCTGGCTCAATCTCTCCAGCCTGTCCAAGACTTTTGGCCAACTGCCTGCAAAAAGAAAGAAAGGGATGCTTTTTTAAGTGTCTTAAGTGTCTTTAAGTGTACTACTGTCATGTTGTTACTGTCCCCGCAGAGAGGCTGCTGAGCCCTCAAACATACTCTTTCACCCATTCACTTCTCCCTGAGAGTTGGCAGAGGACTTAGCAGGAATTTAGACCATACCATGACTTATGTCTGCTGGAGATGCAAAACACTAGCCAGACAGTACCCTGGGCTGTTTCGTGCATCTCATTTTAAGGAGACGTTTTATATTATTAGGTTTTTGCAGAGGTAAGAAAGTGTCAAATTTTAGAAAAAAAATACATTCAACGGGGATAAGAAAAGCACTGCCCTCCACACAGGCAGCTCTAGCTTTACACATGGCTGGTTCCCTTGAGATCCTCCTTCCTCTCCTCACCACTAAAAAACGTGACTCCCCCCGCCACTACCTGAAATGGAGAACAGGTTCCCACCAGATCCTAGACAGCTCTGCAGAAGACTGCTCCCAGGGAGCTCAGCACACTGCTCTCCATCCTAAAGGATACACGTCTCTGCCTGGGCAAACTGATGCCCTGTGAAGACACCATGGGGTGTGAGGAACCCTTACTGCCTTCCTTACAGGAGTCGCATGCACAGACATGCCCACAGATTGTCTTTCCAACCATTTTCCAGGCTCTTTCCAGGACCTAAACATTCCCAGTAGTTTGTCCCTCCTCTCCTAGCTAAGCAGAAGCCTCTGAACCAGGAGCTAACTGGAGGGGAGCCAACGATCTAGAAGCAAGTCATAGACAGGGGAAACTGTCCTCCACATGCTAATAGTCTTTGATGGAATATTTTGCACATGTGTGGATGAGGCTGCTGCTCTATTATGCTTAGAGAAAGTTTCCATCTGCTCCAGTGCAAACTCCAGCACGCATTTGTCCAAGAGCTCTGGTGTCAAACAAGCATTTGGCTCTGGACATAGCACGCAAACTGGGACTCTAAAGGAGTGGGACATTTGTTCCCTCCCGCCCTGGTTACAAATACTACATGAGAACCTATGTCCCAGGTGGTTCCCCTTGTCCCCTTTCTCATCCCCAGATTGCGCTACAGTACACAGAGTAATTTTTTTTTTTTAATACACTGCCATTAGGGCGAATGGCACATTATAGCCAACAGAGATAAGGCTCCTGACCCAAGAAAATTACAACTGAAATTAAGGCAAATCCATCAAAATATGACACAAAAGAGAGAGGTAATAACACAGCGCAAAAACAGCCACTCTAATAAGTGTTTTTCCACTGCATAAAATACACAATCATTATATTGATCCTTCTGCTTTAATTCCAATGAGTGAGAACAGGCACTAATTACTTTCCTAAATTGGGGCCAAAACAGTGCACTTGTCATTTGGACGAGCAAGATGCTCTCAGGGCTTCAAATGTGCCATAAACCCACAGACCAAACCCCATCCGCACAGCGCAAGCAAGCCCATCTTCTTTATGGGAGCACAGCTATCTCTCTTCACAACGGGAAGGGCTGCGTAATAAACCTGTCACATTGTGTAATATGCTGGAAAGGATTGCGTGCTTCGTGGCGTGGTAAATTGTAGAGTTCACATTGCCTAGCTTTAAAATAAAAATGAAAACAAGAATAAAAGATATTTCCCTCCATTGTTTCGATTTTATGTACAAACTGTATGGCAGAAATACGTGCGCGTCTGGCATCGAGGCTGAGTTCTCTGTTCCTGCAGCTTGGTCCCAGTCTGATCCTTATTTTAATGTAAATAAATGAGGCATCAGTTTTATCTCCCTCTCTCTCAGCAGTAACAATAAACCAGAGAAATCATCACTTCATTTCCAACATCTAGTGCAGAGCTGGGAGACCGAGGAAGGACGAGCCCGTGGGTCTGCAGGCCCACCAGCACCACCAAGGACAGATTGAAAAAAAAATTTTGCCCTATCAAAAAGGAATGGCAAGGGCTTGAGTCTCAGGTGCCCCTTCTCTTGCAAGGGTAGAGCTGGGAAGTGCACCAGGAGGGCGGCTGGACGTCTGCACGACAAGTCATGGAAAGCAACTCTGAATGCCAGAGTGCTTTCCAGCTCAGTCTTGAAACCCATGTTCTTTTGATCCGTTTACTGAAATTAGATTACAAACCATAAGGGGTTTACCCAGAGGTTTGATACAGGACTAATATTTTTTAAATAGTAATTAACATTTGATTTACAGTGTTCCAGGGAACATTTCCCAAGTACCTTGAAACAAAAAGTGTACAACTGACTTTAATTGGGGCCATGTTACAGTCACGCAGACATGATGACTTGCATCAGAGCAAAATCTGACAGGACAGCATGTGATCAAAGGTAACGCATATAGGATCACCGATGGCCCTGGAGTAACAGCCAGGCTGTAAAATCACTCATGGGGCTCCACGGCCACCAAGGGTAGCAAGAATAGTTCAAGAGGCTTATAAACAACAACAGGCACAGGGCCCAGCAGCAGTCAGACGTTCACTCCCAGGGAGTCACGGTGTCTGTGACACCCCAGGCTTGCGCGTATTTCTTTTTTTTTAAATGTTAAAAGGTAAAAAAAACCTATAATGGTTACAGACCAAACATTTCTTTTCTGTGACGTTGATGGGGGAGCATTAGAGCACCTTGGAGGGTTCCTTGAGTACCCTTGGAGTGATGTCAGACATGGCGGCAGCGTGCACCGATGGGAACGTGCTGCAGCCGGGGCATTGGGCAGCACACAGCACAGGGTATTCCTCCAAAACAGCCATAGCTGCAAGCTCATTGAACTGCTCTGAGCTGCGATTCACTGGAGCTTGACCTCCCATGCATGTGCGCATGGGGCAGAGCCACACTCATGCTGCCATCTCCCCCTTCATGGTGACACTGATGGCATCTATTCGACCACCCATTTCTACATTCGAGCCCTCTCCACACCCCAGACTCAGCTGAAACTGGCCAACGTGTTCAAAGGTTACATGATAAGAACTCTCCAAAAAGACAAAGCATAATTACATAAGGCTTGTTTCCTTTGGAAAGCCAGGCAGGCTCCCAAATGGGAGTGAATAACTTCCATGGGGACTTAAAAACCTTACTCAGTCTCTCCTGGAGCAGACTTGTCCACAGTCATCCTACACGGAGGGTTTCTTTCAGCAGCAGGAGAACATCCTACACATCAACAAGCCACTGCTCCTAGAGGAAGCTTATATGGAGCAGGAGAGGGGACAGCGAGGAAGACCACCTGGCTGCTCCCACCGCCCAGGGCCCGGAGCTCACAGGCAGAGCTGCACAGGCTTGATAAAGCCCAAAGGCCCCAGTGGAGATGGCTGCAGGGCTGAGTATCACGGAGACAGAGAGCTGTGTCATGGGAACCCCCAACGCCCAAGAGCACAATCCAGTCCCACTCCGCACCATGGAGCTGCCTCCCTTCAGCTGCCAGGCCACCCGCCATCGGAGCACAGGAGCAGCATGGTGCTCCCCATGAAGGTGGGGCCATCCCACGCTTCAGAGTGGTATGGTGATTAGCTGTGCCGAGGGGACACAGCTTTCCTGAGAGACAGTCCCATCTGCAAGAAGGTGTTTTTCCAACAGAGCTACACTGCTTGGGAATCCGACCTTCCCTCAAGCCTTACAGTGAGCTACCCAAGGCATCTAGTCATTTCCTCTCACGCCAAATATACTTGTGAATTAAAAAAAAAACAAAATAAAATGCCAGAGATGAAAGGAATTCAAGCCACTTGGATGGTTTTGGAAAGACCGTCAAGTGAAAGAACATCCTGCAACGTTTCATTTTATTGCGAATGCCGTGACAAATCTTGTCACCTTGACAGACCAATATCTAAGGCTCTGAGCTAGAATAGCCACGAGCCCTGTGTGACACAGAGGGAATCAGTGATTCAACATTTTACTACTACTTTTTTTTTTTTTTTAACAGTCTCATCCATCATCATATGTGGGGGCAAAAAAAAAAAAAGATTCTGCTTTAATTATCTCCAAAAGCGTGGAGACATCTGGACTAATTCTCCAAACAGCCTTGGACTCCAACACTGAAAAAAGGTCCCCAGAAAACAACTGTACGTAGCAGTACTTGTAATATTAATCTGGAAAAGGAGAACATTTTGGAGCTATTTTGCTTTATCTGTTACCTGAAGCAGGTACAGATAAATGGCATTTCACTGCCACTGTAAAATCCCTTCACATGCAGGAGGGAGCACAGCAGCACACACTCAGGGCATCACCTGACATGGAGACAATAGTTCTTCCCTGCTCCTTCCCAGCACAGTCGGGGTGACACCGTGGCCTTCAGAGGGGACAGTGTCTCACTGGTGACCACCAGGTGGCAATCACGACACAGAAACGCACCCCCCTCCCCAAGGGGACCTCCAGGGACTGTCAGGTTGCCCCTGTGCAGGTGGCCACCCTGGGTGGCCAGTGCCACCACCAAACTCTTGGCCAGGGCATCCCACTGCTCCAGCCACACACGGTCACTGTGAAGACCAGAATATGCTGTGAACTGTGCTTGGAAACCTGGCACTGAACTTCCCAAAGAAAAAGGAAAGCTGAGGAAGGTGCATGACCAGCCTGGGGGAGTTCAGCTGCAGGATGGAGAGTACCTGGAAACACCCAAGGCATCCTGGGGAAATGATTGCCAACTATGGAGGGAGTTTCCCTTGTCGTACTTCCAGCAGATTTAGGCAGTGCAGAGTGATGACCTACAGGCTCTTTAGTCCACACCTTCAAAACCATGGTGGTGCTGCCAAAGGGTTATCATGAAGTCTGTGGGCAGAACTAAGGGGTGCACAAGAAAGTTCAAAAAACCAAGCATGCAATGAGCTGCAGATCACCTGCTCTTCTCTCCTTCAGGTGGGCCACGACTAGCAACACGGCTTATAAACAAGCTTATAAACCAGCCCAAAAGCAAACAGGAACTTTTGGGACCTTCAAGAGGTTTCCTTGTCTTTCAGTGTTTAAACAAGCATGTATTTATAGTTAAAAACAAAATGGGTCACCAAGGTTTTATGCTCCCGTCTCCACAAGGCACTTACTGAAGTACCACCGAGTCCCAGAGGAAACAGCTATGTATGAAGACAATCATGGACGTTTTCTTTCCTGACAACACCCTTTACATCTTGGAAACTATCAAAACAGCCAGATGAGAATATACAATGTTGTCAGAAGCCCAGATTGAAGACACACACACTAGCCAATGAGAAAAGACATTAGCCCATCCTCCTAATCTCCCCCGTTTTTGCTGAAAAGGGGGGGGTTGTTCATGACAAGAAGCCAAGCAGTACAATCACCCTCCAGTCTTTTCTCTGTTGGAGTCAAAGAAGACAAAGAAAAACTCTGCCAATAAGAAACTTAGTCATAGTGAAGTTCACAGCACAGCCAGCCCCTAGTTAAGTGGGGCTCAAAGGGAGGGCACTTCAGTTCACGCACTGCAGTTTAGCTAGGAAATACTGAGTGACTTAATGGCTCATGTGGCTCTCAAGGAGTACACGTGAAACTTGCTATTACTGGGCACACAAAGCAGCCACAATTGATAACAAACTCAAACTCAGGGAAACAGGGACTTCAGTATAGTTTACTTTTAGGTTTAGGGCTGGTAGATCTGTGCCAACATGCTTAGTCTTAAAAAAAAAAAATTTACGTAAGTTTTAAGTTTTACCAGGAGTTTGAGCGGACGACTCCAAAAACCACAGTGCTGACACTGTACATCAGTTCTGCTACCCCATCAGAACAGCTTTGCAAGAGGAAGAGAAAACTTGGGCTTTATGCCCAACTTCCACTACTGCACATGCTCCAGATTACATCCAGATCCCCATCACCTGTAAAATTTGACCACAGCATTGCCATAGGTCAGATTTACCTACTCTGGATCACCAAGTCAGGACTGCTCAGTTTTTCCCAAGATAACTGAATATATTTATCAATGTCCACCATTTCTTATTGAGACTCACTCAACAGGAAGCAGCATGGCCACGCCAGGTGGGTGCTTGGCACACTGCAGCTATTCCCAAGAAAGAGTGAAAACGCTGAAAACTACAGGGTCTTCCTCAAGGAGAGGCAAAATGAACTTGCAAGCTGGATCCAGCCCAGCATAGGTCATTTGTATAGCCCTGGCTTAAAATCTCCTCCTTCACGGGCAGTGCCTGCAATTTGAGCTTTGGACAGCAATGGCTTTACAGTGCCTCCTGAAACACACAGAGTGCAACACCCTTCTCATCTGCTTCAGGAGGGAATGAATCTTCTCTTGATTTCTAGTATTCTTTCTTGAAGCAATGTAAATTTAAAGCCACAAAAATCTGTGACTTCTTTCTGCTTCTTAACAGTAAAGGCTTAAAAACCAAAGATGAGCCTCACAGCTACTGACCTTCTTCCTCCAGCAGAAGTGAAATGCCTACACGCTGCGTACTACTCTTACACAAAGGGAGGAAGGATTGAAAGGCTGTCAGCACCCCAAGGTGCTTGGGCTGGTCAGGCTAAGTACCTGTGTGTGCTCCCTCTAGACTGCAAGCTCTTCTGAGCAAAGACCTTATGCTCATTAATGCTGTGATGTGCCAGCACACTCAAGCAAGCACCAAAAGAAACTAACTTTATGTAGCCATGAGATTAACTAGCAATGAGCTATCCTTAGCCTCATCACAATTTAACCACCAAATACCAGAGGGATACAAGACAAGTATTTGTTAACAGATTCCTGTCTCTATCGCATGTATCAAACTAAGTGAAACCAAGAACCCCAATTAGAAATCTCAGTCATCTCTACTTCCAATGGCAGCCACATACCCTGTTGCAAAGTTGCTGTCTTCCTTCCAGTCCACTATGCGACAGATGAAGAGCATATTTGAATAGTCCTCAGGCCTGGTCACAAAGTCTGGAGGGCAATCAGCCAAGGACACATAGACCCTGGGCACTCTGTGGTCCACAGGTGAGAACATGGCACACCTCCTGAAGAGTTCACTGTTCTTGTCTGCCAGAAGCTTGATGAAGCCTGTAGCTGCTCGGGAATGTTTCTTTTCCAAAATATAGACCACCTGGAAGAGACAAAGGTTTCTACAGTTAATACCTTCAGAGAAACTTATTTTCTTTAACAGAATAGGGATACACAGAGGCTTAGCAGAATATCTGGAAAAATCACAAGGCCTATATCATGTTTTCCCTGTGTGTGTATATGTGTGTGTGCATTTTTTAACTGAGTACCTATTTACAATGTATTTTCCTTGCCATCTTGCTCATGGCTATAGAAGAGCTAAGCGCCTTCCAAGTGCTAGCTCTCAACAGCAATTTTCTTGATTACAGAACAAAACCAGACAAGAAGCAGATGCTTCCAAATGCAGGGAATTAGCCACAACATACAAGCAACTCCTGTAAAATCTTTCATTTGTATCCTCGGCCTGTGATTTCGACCTTCAGCGCAGAACAGGCCAGTCCAAAAATGGTGCCGCTGGCGGATCCAATGCTAACCACAGGAAAGGATGTGCTGTGGGGAATTTGGCAGTTCTCTCCTCCTCTCTGTGCTTTCTGAAGTTAGGGGTTATTTTACCTTTATACAAGAAGGCTTTGAAAAGAATAATAAATTACAATATCACTAAATAATTGTTCCAGAGAGGTGTTCATTCAGGCTATATTTTTGTAGACTGTAATAAATCACTGGATAACAGAAATATTATAGCCGATTTCCTAAGCTTATACAGAAGAGTCCTTCCAGAAGGTTTCAGGAGTTGCACCTCTGTGCGACTCTGAGAGCTGGAGTTGCCACGCTGGGTGAGACCAGAAGGCAGCTCAGCCCAGAAGAGGGACCAGCATCAGAGGCTGCAAGGGACAGCACAAGATGTGGAAGAGACCTGACTCAGCCTAACCCAGTAGTCCTTTTCTGGTCTCTTAACATTCAGAGATTGACTCAAATCTTGAACCAACAGCACTAACAGCCTTTCCAAAGTCTGAAAGAATTAATTCTGACAACTTCGGATATCCTGACACTCATATTAGTAACCAATCTTTTTTCTGAATCTTGCTAAGTAATTTTGCGTAACAAAAGGGAATTTAAACTAGGCTAATCGATAAAAATAACAAGATACTTGATTTTTATCAGATCAGACAATTACTCTCTTTGAAACCGGGAATGAGATGCAAAGATCAACAGATGGAGACTACAAGGAGGCCAGGACTGGTCTCCTTCAGCCTTTGAGAGCGCACATATGCTTGCTCGTCACTCTCCATGGAGTTACCTTGGCTGTCCTTTGAAGAAACTTATCTGGGAGGAGCCTGGGATCATTCACCTTGGGTCCATCATCTTGCTTTGTTCTGTGCACCCTGCTGATCCCAACAGCCTTCACTGCATCAAACAAGACAAATACAACAGTTACCATAGCACATTTCTACCACAAAGTTGTGTTGGGCCTTTGTTGTAAACTACAATACAAGGTGCATGTAGTAGACTTATTTGAAAGGAAAAAGATCTCTTAAATGTTAGAATAGCCAAGCATGAAACAATTATTATTTCTCCAGAGGCTACCACAGAGAGCAGTTATATGTTAACTTACCATGCAGATCTGCTGAAAAACAACAAAAATCAAAATAAATCCAAACTTTACAAGTACAATTATACCTGCCATAATAAACAAAATGGTGGAAAATACACTCTGTTTATTAAATACTAAGAACTACATGAATTTCCTAGCATTTTTTAGTTGGAGTCATTAACATCATATAAATAGTCCGTTAAGTACATACATTCACTTAATATTTAGTTTCCTTTAAAAAAGTTATGCAAGGTTATAAAATGCATATCTATCTTTGAAACTGAAACATCTACTAAGTTGACCCTCTTCGGCTGTGGACCAGGATTATGAAAAAGTCTTATGAAAGTAATCACTACAGCTCCCTCCCCCTGAAATTTCTTCACCAGATACTGAGAATATTTAAATCAACTGTCAATTAATTTCTAGTTTGTAATTTTCAAATATTCAGGTATCTGAGCTTGCAAGTATCTGCTATAGCTGGCTGGCACACCGAATGATTTAGTGTTAACAAACATCCAAAGTGATCTTTGCCATGGAGAAGGCTGGGATCAGTCTCTTCTTGAGTTGCATCCCTGCTGAAAGCCTGTGGCTACTGCTCTGACAGTGTTTTTCAGATGGAAACATCAATGCACTCTTCTCAGGAGGGCTCATGGAGGATGGATGCCTTTTTCCACTTGTATGGCAATCGCAATCATCCCAAGCACATGTGCTAAAATCAAGCCCTGAGTGTTCAAAAGAAATTTTGCTTTCTTAAAGAGAGACCATGGCATCAACTGCAAGTTTCAAGGGACATAGCTGTCACTGTTCCCCTTAGAAGACATGAGATAAAGCAATGTTTCGCTGAAGACTCTGCTCCAGCAAGCCAATAGCACTCATGCACGCCAGAAAGCCTCAAGGAGAACAGCAGTTGACATGCAAACCCTGGCCCCCAGATGACACCCATCTGTCCTGCAGGGACCCTCGACAGAGGCTGCTGGTGACATGACGGATGAAGGGGGCCATGCTGCGGGGGGGGAGGCTGCAGCTGCCGGCAGTGCCGAGCAGTGCCGGGTGCCGGTGGCTGGCGCTCGGGGGGAGACAGGGTGGCAGCAGGGGCCAGGAGCTTGCCCCAAGAGGAACGGCTGTGCACCACCGTCACGAGGGCACGTTCACAGATGGTCCTGCCGCCACGGACGGCCTGGGTTGCCTTTGGGCAACGTTACCCCAGCAGTCATTTGACAATGACAGCTATTGCTCTAATGACAAACTCTGGTTCTCATATGCTGCTAATTATCCCCAGCTTTGCCTTTTGATACAAAGCTCTTCAGACTTCGCCTCTCCCCAGAGATCATCTTTTTCAGAAGATTCTAAGTGACTTTAATTTTATTTTGTCTTTACTGACTTGCTAGCAAGGCTGAGAAGAGAACAGGCAGATATTCAGCGGTTTAAATAAAAATCTATTTTCCTTGAAAAAGCAGCAGTAGTAGCACCAGCAAACCCCTTTCTCTTTTACTTCTCCTCCTGAAATAAATTCAGATGTGCCACAACTGGGGTTACTAAGGGATAAAACCACCCAGAGTTTCATGGTGACAAACAAGATGAGGAAAAAAATTGCTTGGATAATTATAAACAGTTTAAAAAGTGGGGATACCCAAGTTACACACCTCATCTGCTTGCCGCCTCTAAGATCTCTGCCAGCTAAAGGTCATACCAAGCAATCAGTTAGTAAACAATAGAAGCAAAGAGCCGTTTTGTTTTCTTAAGATTTTTCAAGCCATCGCTTAATAGTCATGGACTTACGGTGTTCCAACCATAAAGACAGCTAGGACAAAGAACGAGACGATCTGGAACAAAGAAAAGTTGGCACGCGCAGAGGGCAAGGGGAGGTTGGTAGCCTTCCAAAGGCCATGCCTTCGGGCACACTTGCCACAAGCCCAGGGCCTTTACTGGAGTGAACTCTCCCCCACAGAACAGCACATACTGGTTGGAAGAGAAACCAGACCTAAATGTGTTTGGAAAAAAGCAAGAGCTGCACTCGCTGCTTTCCCAGCGCAGCAGAATAACAGCACCGACTCAAGGCACAATGGGCAAGAATGAGAAAAGCACCAGGAACCACGCGAGGAACACGCCCTTGTTAGCACTGCCTTCTTTCCACTTCTCCTTCCAACTCCCATTTCTCCAAAAGTTGCTTGCATTTTTTCACGGAAGCAGCTTTCCCTGTCAAAAAAAGAGCCAGCAGTGGTGTCCTTGGGAGGTATCACATACACGCATGCAAAAGCACAGAAGCACCAGGAGAGAGCTGTCACGGGGAGCACACGGGGAGCACAGCAAATAGGTCACCACAGCTTCCTTTGCCTGGGATGAAGAACATGCAGGGCTGGGGCATTGCCCCCCATCCTGCTGA